CGCTGGGTTCCAACTGTTGCAAACCAGGTTCCTTTGCATTCACAACTCGTTCAATGTCGAGCTACATGTTCGCGACAGGAGCAGTCGTAGGACAATGGGACACCTGGAACGTTCGCCTAAACATTTTCACTAACTTCCAGGTAACGTGTTTACCATGTTCCTTAATTCGGATTTAATGATTAGCTCACTCGTGCATTATTTTTTCTCTCTGTTTACATTCGAGTCACCTTGAGTGGATCCGTCAAGCATTTTGAAAGCAGCGCTTATACACCTTAAAAGTACCCAAAATACTACCATCCCCCGAGTAAACACACTTTGTGTCATGCACTGCAAAATTAAAAGCGCTTTCAATAAAAGACGATACAAAAACAAAATGGCAGCGACTTTTATTTTTAAACACCTATAATGCATTAGGTGCATTACTGAAGGGCCATTTTTTATTTGCTTAAAAGATGTTTGAGGATCTGGAGAGTCGCTTCGACGAGTTTAGAACAATATTCTTTTTTATTGGACATGTCACCCCGCACTACGGAGGGTATCTGCATGTCGTGACTATAGTGGGAGGCTCTGGCATGCGCATTAGCCGGATTTCGTGCAAAGTCGTCCAGCAGGTGCAGTGGTAGAGCATCAGGTCGTTGACAGAATGAGCATAGTTGTAAACCCGAGACTGGGGATACAGACGAGGGACAAACACAGAACGACATGGACGAGTCCCTTGTCCGTATCCCCTGACATCCAGCGCCACACAACAACGTTACTTCGAGGTATTCCGGAAAATAAATTCCAAGAATGTCTCCCGCACTGGCACCACCGTCTGGCGATACGCATAGCTTCGCAAGAGGAGTTCTTTGAAGTTTACATCAGGCCATTAGTGCACAGGTAAGCGATATTTGCTTTCATAGGGTCCTTCCGGGAATGGAACTGTCGCAGGTCGCATATTCCGGTGTTTTTGAGATCGGTAGAAGCATATTTTGTAAGGCTCTTGCAATTGTCCGGAACTGAAACCCATCTTTTGTATGGAGCATGCGTGTCCACAATATTCACGCATTAATCTAATTAGATACTAATGGGAGTAATATTTTTTCCTCTACTAGTAGGAAATATCTAAAACTTACGAGAAAAGTTGGTTGCCTTGAGAGACAGCTTGGCTTACCAAAAGACAGCACCCACTCGGCGTCACTGTTTTTACAGGTGTGCCGTTTTGGAAAATAAAACCATATGACTATGCAAAGGAAAAAGAGAAAAGAACTGCCGAACACAGTATCCGTTTCTTTTGTTTTGGGGTTTTCACTTCTGCAATTTCGCAACACGCGAACATGAAGAATCAGGTAATTAAATGTCGTTATTCGTCATCATTTCGTAAAAATGAAATATTTAAAATTCATCCTCCCTAATCTTAAAAAAAAAAAAAAAAAATCACCAACACCAGTAGCGGATTGCGAGCAACACGTTGATGCTACCGCGCTACAACTGATAAGCTGGGGGAGGGGGGGGGGAGCTTTATATGTCAAATTTAATACAAAAAAGCACTACCAGTGATTTTAGTCGGTCTGTTTGTTGGGGCAACTTCCAGAATCAATTATAAACTCAACAATTGTGGAAGCAAGACAGGTAGTTGTTTTGATCACATTAATCCTCAATTACTACCTACCATCGTTCCAGTAAAACAATTCACTTCTGTTTTCCAGAATTTGTCTAGTGCATTAGTGGCAGCCATTTGTTACGGGACGGCGAACGCAGAACGACTTTCCCCCAGCAGACTCTGGACAAAAATCCCCCGGAGCCCGCGGCGGAGTATTAGGCCGTTAAATTAAAATCTTATTGGTTTCGCCCCCCGACTCGCCTCGTCGACTTTCACAACGCGTCTCGGAAAACTGTCGACCCTCCTTTCTTGTTCCGATTTGAACATGACGGTGCGAATAATCAAAGAAATGGCCTCCGGATCCCATGGGAGACTCAAGCAATACCATCTAGAAGACAAGGCCTTTCGCCCATACAGTTATTACAATAAACGCTAGAGGTTCAGGTGGTGCTAGTGTGTTGTTGCATTTTAAAGAAGACAGCAATCAGCCTAAATTTCAATTCCGGTAATGCATTCCTATGGAAAAGCGCGAATGCGTTTTCCTCTTCGCGCTCGATTATAAGAGCAAACATTGTTTAGTGTGTTTTTCTTTAGAATTTATGGCGTCGAACACTGTATTGCGCTAAAATAGCCTTCAGATCTCTCCTCAAAACAAACTACTTCGTGCCTACCCCGTTCGCTTCTACCGGGACTGACCCCTCATGCAAAGTATGACCTTTTTAAAAGTTTAAAATAGCGCAAACGACGAGGGACGACAAGCAGAAGGACACCCACACAGCTGGGAATGCAAGAACCTGCGCGACTTTAGAGCAGAGGCGTGGGACTCGCTACCCAGGGAGAAAAGGCCCACGACGCTTGAGGACTGGACCCATCTCGGGGGACAGCCGCAGCACAAAAAATAAATCATTGACTCCCTGATCCGCTACATCGGGGACTCTGAAATCCATCACTTCATCTAGATTTACACATGGTCCCTTACTCTTTCCCATCCATCGCCACAATCCTTTCCCTCTCGCCTCGGGACATGAACCCATAGACGAGTGAGCCTTTCCTTAAATCAATAAATGTTACTGTCCCCGAATGGTGAAGGTCGTATATTTCTATCAATAAATTAACGTGAGTAGGGGCTCGAAGAAGCGTACCTATTTGCGCACATGATTCAAGGCCTTGCAGGGCGCGAGCGTACGTGCTTAAAGGCCGCGTGGGGCGCCACCACGCCTCCGCGAAGGCCCGAAACCAATAGTGTCCCTGCAAGGAGATGACCGAAGCCCGAGTAAAATTTTCGCATTCTTTCTGACCGTGTTCAGACACATTTCCTTCCACCATCCTCCGGACTGAGGAGCAGCTGCGCGGGCGGAGCTTCGTCGCAACCACTACCCCTCACCGTGCCTCATCTCCTCCTCAATCAGGTAACAGTTGGGACACCCCGTTCTAATTATTATTTTGCCGATCTATTATTAGCAACCGCAATTGCTATAGTAATATTCATTTTCACCGGGAACAGCCGTCGCTCCCTTTAGAAAAGCAAGTACCTCTCCACACAGATGTCATTGGTTCTGCTCAAAATGCTTTCGCGGTTCCTCGAAGTGCCGTACCAGACGCGACTCTTGGCGCTGGCGAGAGGGGTGCCACCCCCCTCTCGCCAGCGGACGCGCCGCGTCTTACTACCCAAGTTAAAATGCACCTAGGTCGGGACCCGCTACCTGAAAGCACCGCTGAGGCGTGGTTGTATAAAAACAATATTAATTGTGCCGCAAAACCTTGCAAACCAAGGGTTTTAAAACATCACGCGCCCTTCATTTTGTACTGAACTCTAATCAATTTCATACAAATAGACTCTTTTCCGTTTTTGTTACGCAAAAACATGCTTTCTAAAAGCTCAAGGTGACACAGTACAGACAACTGATAAAGAGTGGCGCTGTTGTCGTATTTAGCTCGGTCTCGGTGGACGCCAGCGGCCCAGGTTTCTACGGCAAGTTTCCCAACTGAGTGTTTTAGTAACATTGGTCGTCCCGGACCGAAATCACCTTTATTCGCACTACGATGCTCTCGTTTTTTGTTGTTTTTTTTCTTTCGGACGCGTAAGATGTCTGCTTTTCTTGTAACTCCGCTTTTATTAATTTCAGTAATAGCGTCAGATTTGCATGTGGACAATCGACTTCTTCTAGAGCATACTGACTGTTTTGATGTCATGAGGCTTTCTGATCTTAGAAGAAGAGGACATCCAGTAAGCACGCTCGCAGGAGGTGGCACGCGCTGTTGCGTTTGGAACTGACGAGCATTCGCCATAGCTGCCGCTTTGATCCCGTATGTATTTATTAAACAGTTTGCTTAAACCATCCTCTTCAGCTTAACTAGGAACATAACATGGTGTCATAAGTGGTGAGCAGCTCAACGTCCATATTTTAAATTTAACAAGCTACAGCAGCAACATTATGGCATCTGCTTCCCTACAAACACCGGCACCGTTCCATCCTGGTGACGACCCAGCAAGAGCATGGGAGGAGTGGAAATCATCGTACCTTATCTTCGAGGCAGCCTGTGAATATTCATCGAAGCCTATCGCAACTCGGAAAGCTTTTCTGCTCCACTGCCTTGGACCTCAGGCAAGACAAATTACGCAAACCTTTTCTCTGCAACCAACAGGAGATGGTCAAAGCGGGCAAAGAGAGAATGCAGTAGATTACATACTGCACGAATTTGATAAACTGTACGCACCTACAAAAGCGTGACACACGCAACAGCCATTTTTAACACAATGTGCCAAAAGCCAGAACAAACCATTGACGAATTTGTAACTGAGCTAAAACTGCAGGCTCAGAAATGCGACTACGGAGTTCAAGAAAACATGCCCATCTGTGACCGTATCATCATTGGGATACGAGATGTGGCTTTGCGCGAACGGTTGCTTCGTGAACCGAGTCTAACCTTAGACAAAATCATTTCAACCTGTAAAGCAGCTGAAATCTTAAACAAACACGTGAATGATATTCAAAAAACTGAAGACGAAGTTAGAGTTGATGGACTCTATCGTCAGCCATCTAGCTTCAGAGCAGCGCAACGAAGTTACCGACCATCCGGACCACAAAAAGACCAATCCAGCAACCGACAGCAAATTCCATGTTCGAGATGTGGTACTTACCATCAACCCCGAAACTGCCCAGCTTACAGAAAGCTCTGCCTTTCGTGTGGAAATTTTGGACATTTTTTCCGAATGTGCAACCAGACACAGCAGAAAACCTACGGATATCGGCGTGTTTCTGCAGTAGAAGAAACTTCCAACTCATCCATGAACAATGGCCGCAATAAAACGATCCATTTAAGAGGCATAACAATTGCGCCTCTTCCATCAACCAAAGCAACCAAGTTTGCGCAAACTGGGACAGAGCTGGAGAGGCGGTCAAAGAAAAAAAAGGGCATGTTGGCATCTCGCCCCAAAGAGGGACAAGGTCTGATTTCAGAGTTGGTTTTGGCAACGGCAGAAATGCAGCGAATGTCTTTGGAGCAGGAGAGAAATATCGAAGCGAGCTTTGGCCGTGAGCAGGCCCTTCAACGTGAGTGCAAGGCAGCTTCGGCTCTCCTGGGGAAGATGCAAGCGCAGCAAGCAGAATTTTCTCATGCCAAGTATCAGGAGTCTGAAGCATTGAAAGCCCAGTTAGTTTCTCTAAGTGGGGATTTGTCAAAGCAGCTGGAGCTTGTAGATGCCAAGATGGAGGAAGCGAACACCCTGAAGGAGAAGTTTGAAGCATCTCAGCTTGAGCTCGAAAGGTTTTCTGCCGAGTACTGCATCTTGCAGGATGTCCTTCTTCAAGACTGTGGCGAGGACTTGCCGCTAGTTCAGAATGATTCCGAACAACGAGAGGTCAGTGCCTTTCAGTACCTCAAGAAGCTGCTGGACATTGCAAAACGCAAGAGAGAGGCCCTGGAAAACCAGCTTGCTAAAAAAGAGGAGCAGTTCAATCTACTTCAGCAAAACTATCAGTACTTAAAGGACCGGTACCAGTGGCCGTTACAAGATCTCGGGGCATTTGTCCGGAGCATGATCGAAGCATTTGTCCGGAGCATCATCGAGCACACCAACCAGTCGTCCGAAGCTGCAGTGTCTCTTGAAGCAAGTCAGCTGGAAGACTTAAACCGTATGCTGGCAGTACTTCAGGAACGGGTCACATCCTTGAGAGTTAAGAACGAGCTCCTCGCTCAAGGAAGTCAGCAGTGGAAATCATCTTGTGAAGATGCGAGTGAAAAAATTAGATGCGTGTCTAATGAAAGTCGCCTCTGGCAGCAGAGACACGAAAAGGTGGCGGAGACTTTGAGAGAGAGAGAGAGAATGCTGTTAAGTGTAACAATTCGTCGCAAACGGAAGCAGACGGAAGCTCCTTTACCGAGAAGGCAGAAACAGAGTGCGAGATGTTAGACGAGAAAGTCAGCAGCCTCCTAAAACGCAACGGAAAGCTAGAAACCGAAGCCGACATTTTGTGGTCAGAACTTTCCTGCCTGGAGGAGCAAGCTGAGATGCTCGTCAGCGACAACAAACATTTTCAACAGCTAGCTGAGAATTTAAAACAGGCACGACATTGCCTCGAGAAGGAGTTGAAGACTCAGCGCGAGCAGCACGTCAAGGCCACCAAGGAGATGGAGAACGAGCACTGCACTGCGCTGGACGAAGCGGCCAAGTGTGAGGCAGCACTATCAGCGCTGAAGACAGACCACTCCCAGCTGTTGGACAAGTATAACCACATTGTATACAGACACAGGAACCTGCAGGAAGAGTTTCACGCGGCAGCCCAAGAGAAACGCAGTTGGGAGGACAGGTGCGCTCAGCTCACAAAAGAGTGGGCAACAGCCAGACGAGATCTCGCAGTCTTCGAGGAGCAGCAGGGCGCAGTGGGACAAAAGACCATGCAGGAGCTGCAAGAGCTGTGGCAAGCAAATCAGCAGTTGCAAGAGCGCTTTCGCCTGCTCAAGGACAAGCATCTCAAGGCTGAAGAACGGTTGGTACAAGCGCCAAACCAAAAAGTGGAGGCCTCGATGGAACATGTCGCCGAGGGCACTGGGGGTACAGCGAGAACTTTGGAGGCACCAGCAAGCCGAGTCGAGATAGAGGAACTCTCCCGGCGGTACGAGTCCCTTTTGAAACAGTCTCGTGCATAGGAGAACAAGTGGAACCAGGACAAGCAGCAGCAGAAACACATCGAGGACTTACAGGCGCAGCCGGTACCACACCAAAGAAGCACATGGAACAGCAGAAACGAATACAGCTGCTGAAAACTACTTCCCTACAGTCTCAAACGAAGCTGCTGAAGACTTAGTCCATACAGTTCCAAATGGCGAATCACTTGAGCACATTTCCATGTCTACAAGGTCAACAGGATACCCAAAAAACAAGAAGTCGACGCGTTGTGGTGAAGCCGCTATGATACAGAGACTGACAAGTGCCGCGATCGCACTGCGTTATCTTCAAAGAAAAAAAAAAGAAAGAAAAGAGAAAAGAAGAAGGGGGGCATGTTATGATGTCATGAGGCTTTCTGATCTTAGAAGAAGAGGACATCCAGTGAGCACGCTCGCAGGAGGTGGCACGCGCTGTTCCGTTTGCAACTGACGAGCATTCGCCATAGCTGCCACTTTGATCCCGTATGTATTTATTAAACAGTTTGCTTGAACCATCCTCCTCAGCTTAACTAGCAACATAACACTGACATCGCAATAATATGCATGGTTCGAAATTGCCATTTGCTTCTTCATCCTATTCGCCTATTTGAAAAAGGCGGTTATAAGCAACAGACTCATGAGGAATGAGAACTACAACAACGAAACAAATTCATTTATAAGAACAGTAAAGTTGAAACGTAGCTACGTTCTAAAATTTTTGTGCGTTGCCCTTAAAAAAAAAAAAAAAAAAAAAAAAAAAAAAACAGTGCGAAGGTACATTCGTGTTTTGTCTCGCTTACATAAGTTGTCACAGAGTGTTTTCTTCAGGAGAGCCCCAAAATTGCAACCTGGGCCTCTAAACTCGTCAAACACAAAGTTGTGGCCGAAGTTGACGGAACGCACCAATTGGTCTATAACGACGATGACTTGGCACCTTTTTCGCCAACGTCCAATCGGCGCGCTCCGTGAACTTTCGGCTCCAACTTTGTCTTTTACGAGTTTAGGGCCGCAAAAAGCTCTAACATCTTCCCCACGCGAAGAAAATGTCCTTCACTTATGAGGTGGCACCTATTTTTCAACATTCAAAGAAGCAGATACCCGTGACAGCTTCTTTCTTTTTTTTTCATTGGTCACCTCGCACGAAAATAGGCAAAACCAATGCGTTGCGGAGAATTCGCCTGCTAGTGGAGGCTCCGAGCTCGCCAGGGGCGCTGCGATCACTTTTCGACGGCGCTCCGCGGGGCCCCTACTCTCGCCAAGCTTCGGAGTGTTTGCCGCTTGAGGCGGGTCGGGGATCTGCTAACGAAACGGCATGCGCAGTTGTCTTCTAAATGGTATTGCTAGAGCCACTAGCAAAACGGGCAAGGCATGTTCAAATGTACGAAAGACAAAGATCAAGCAAGACAAGGCCGAGTAGGCTCTCCGTTGCCTTTCAACGTGTTTTTCTTCTTCTCCCGGGAAGTAGAAACCTCTCTGTGTTTATTTGTATTTTGACTTTTGGACCGTTTCACCCTTTCCAAATTCTTAGAGGTCTCCCGCCACCTGCACAAACATAGGGCCTTAGAACGCACCTGGTATCGCTGAGCCGCAGCGTTCTTCCGTATCAAAAAGTTCGTCTGCTTTCCTTGCCGTCACCATGGCAACGAACGCCGAATGAATAGAAGCACGCACGGTACCGCCGCGTGAAGCTAGCAACAGCTGACGCCATTTTACGAACGCCGTCTGCTAGCCAAAGCCGAACGCGGTGTGTCAGATCAACCGCCTCCGCCGGTGCGCCGCTAGCAAAGACGACGAAGCTGAGACACGCCGACGGCGATCGAGCAAGCAACAACACCGCGGGACGACTGCAACGGCGGCATTTATTCGGATCAAAGGCCGGCTTCGCCGGTGCGCCGCTAGCAAAGACGACGAAGCTGAGGCACGCCGACGGCGAATGGGCGAGCAACAGCACCGCGGGACGACCGCAACGGCGGCATTTATTTTGATCACAGGCGCGAAATAAGCAAGAACAATTTTTATTTGAATCATAACACCCGATATCCAAGTTGGGGACCACATACCTTTGCTGGGTCTTTCCTGTGAACTTTTTACAGAGACACGGGGTGCCGCATTAAAAACACAGCTCCGTTTGCAAAATATGGGGGCCCTGAAAAGGACCGTTTAGACCATTGCCAGAACCTATGACTGACGTAACGAGCACTTGACGAGCGGTTGGCGCATAAGTCGTCTTTATGCATGCAGGCGGGTGACGGGCTCAGCGCAGCGGATCCCTCGAAGTCACCGGGGCCCTCAAAATCCTCGCCCTGTCTGCGTCGGGGCTCTAGATTTTGGCGGCCGTGGCGACGAACGACTGGAATCTATCAGTGTTTCCGCGCGCCTTGTCTCTCCTCCAAAACATGAACTTTGCGAGGTGACCAGTGAAATGGTGGCTCTCGCGCCGTCCAGATGGAAGAGAGTTTTTGACGTGGGCCCAGGTGCAATCCACCGTATTGGTGTGCGCACCAGTGTTCGCGTCGACAAAGTTAAGCTTATGGTTGACGGTGAGGTGCGTGAAGCGAGCGTCATCTGCAAGCTTGAGATAGCCAGCCCAACAATCAGTGATTATTTTTGTTTCAGGGCGGACCCACTCGGCTACTAGCCCTTGCAGGGTTTTAGCGTCACGGGTCTCCACGGGAACAAGAAAGCAGCACCCGCTGCAACGCGCCACACCGCCGAAAACCCACTGGCCAGGCCTTAAATACCCGCGATGGTACTTGTGCCGACCGAACATACTCTCGTCTGGTTCTACAGTCACGCCGTCGCCACTAATCATGTCTGAATGCTTAAAGACGGCATTTACCACAACCTCCCGACAAAGGCTCGCCCAATCAGTTATTGTCTTACTTGCGATATCAGCCTCCCGCTGAATGACGGCGCACGGTAGGTTCTGGCATCTGGAGGATGATTTTCATGAGTTGGAGAAGCGTCAGGTGCGTGCGATCCTTCGAAAAGGGAACCACTCCGTATCGAGACCTCGCCCCGGCACTGAACTTTGGCCGACTTCCTCTTGGGCACCTCACAAATTATCCACACACCGCACCCCCCCCCCCCCCCGCCCCCCCCCCCCCCCCCGTGTAGCCATCCGTAGATCTAGCGCGGACTTGCAGCTTGTCATCGCAGCTTCGCACTCTGGACACACACGAAAACCCAGGAGCCAGGAGCAGGCCAACGCGCTAAAGCAAATTAATTGCTTCAAGAGGGTCTTCCATGGCGCCAAGAAGACGGTACAAGTTGAACGCCATGGCACTGCGATGCTCGCCTCTGGAAGAACAAAGCGCCGAGGGGGAACTGCGCGCTTCTTTCCATTTATTATATTTATTTCATCGCCATTTTATACCTCGTGACACAATTCTAACAAACTCATTGGTTGATCGGTCGAACCACACCATCGCGTGACAAAAAAAAAAAAAAAAAAAAAAAACGCCAAGCGTATGTCTACGGACGGCATCGTCACAGAGAAGGGAGCAGTCGAACCCAACAACAAAATGAAGTAACAAAGTGAATAAAAAAAAATAATAAGAAGGGAGCCGTTGGAGTTCCGGACGGCGTCTTCTTTGATGAGAGGAGCTGCTCTGGCCAGAGCGGCCAGAGCAGCCGTGCTGCTCTGGCTGCTCGGAATATTCCTTTTTATTCTTTTTCTTACTCTACTGGGTGCCACGACCCTTATTTGAAGCTGATTTGTTAAAATAATAACAAACAACGCGTTGGAACGGAGGAGGTAGAGAGTCTTGGCGTCAGAATTTGACGTGGTAGAAAAGAAAAGAAAATAACGAATGCACAATACATACCGTATGCCAAGACCGTTATACTCCGCACTTGGCGAGGCCTTATGACTCAGCCGACGACCGTTAGGCTATTTATTTTGTTTCTTTTGATTTTTTATCGTGACGACTACTCCACTGTGCCTCGGAGTCTCCGGCGGAGATCCGGCAGTTTTTAATAATTATTATTGTCGTTTGAAGGGCACCCTTTCTATGCTGCTTCGTTCCTGACGCCATAGAAATATTCTTTCTGTTTAGATTATAGGCGCGAAAAATCCACACTGACTGGGGCCTGAGTAACAACTCTGCATTACTCAGGCTCTAGTCCGTGTGGATTTCTCCCGCCTACAATCTAAAAAGAAAGAATGGCATAAATACACATCAGACGCGCACGCACTCAAAGTTGGTCCAGAAGTCCAGTGTCCCCGACGTGTTTTTGTATGGCTTTCAAAACGATACACTGATACCGCCAAGTGTTCCCCGCCCAGGAATTTGGTGACATTAAATAGTCTACTTTTTGTATCCCTTACTCCCTCCCTGTCTTGCGGCGCATTTTCTCAAAAGTAGTCTATGGTCCAGCAGTCGCAGCGTTGTTCTCGTGTCTTCTCGTTGCGTGTTGTATTTCACGCATGCACACAAAATATGCTAATAATGAAGCTAAATAATCGTACTTATCAATTATTGGACTAATTTTATTGGACTAATTGTATCCACAAACCAATCCGACCATGAACTAAACTTTTTTTATTGTTGTTTATACGTGGTGCAAAGTAATCCCGCCCCCATATTTTTATGGCGTCAGAAACGAAGCAGCATACGAAGAGTGCCCTTCGAACGACAATAATAATAATTATTAAAAACTGCCGGATCTCCGCTGGAGACTCCGAGGCACAGTGGAGTAGTCGTCACGATAAAAAATCAAAAGAAACAAAATAAATAGCCTAACGGTCGTCGGCTGCGTCATAAGGCCTCGCCAAGTGCGGAGTATAACGGTCTTGGCATACGGTATGTATTGTGCATTCGTTATTTTCTTTTCTTTTCTACCACGTCAAATTCTGACGCCAAGACTCTCTACCTCCTCCGTTCCAACGCGTTGTTTGTTATTAATTTAACAAATCAGCTTCAAATAAGGGTCGTGGCACCCTGTAGAGTAAGAAAAACAACAAAAAGGAATATTCCGAGCAGCCAGAGCAGCACGGCTGCTCTGGCCGCTCTGGCCAGAGCAGCTCCTCTCATCAAAGAAGACGCCGTCCGAAACTCCAACGGCTCCCTTCTTATTTCTTTTTATTCACTTTGTTACTTCATTTTGTTGTTGGGTTTGACTGCTCCCTTCTCTGTGACGATGCCGTCCGTCGACATAC